CACATGGTCAGGGGGCAGGAGGGCAGACGGTATGAAGAGAGACTACAGCAGAAAGAGAAGAGAGAGAAGGCTGAGGGGGATCTGGTGGCTGTCTATAAACTTACCGGGGAGCTGTGGGGAACAGGAGAGTCCCTGTTGCCCCAAGTACTACCAGGAGTAACTAGGAATAACGGCCACAAGTTGATTGAGAGTAGGTTCAAGCTAGACATCAGGAAGCACTACTTCACAGTCAGGGTGGCTAGAATCTGGAACAAACTTCCAAGGGAAGTGGTGCTCACTCCTACCCTGGGGGTCTTCAAAAGGAGGCTAGATAATCACCTAGCCGGGGTCATTTGACCCCAGTATTCTTTCCTGCCCATGGCAGGGGGTCGGACTTCATGATGTACTCAGGTCCCTACCAACTATGAAACTATAGCCCAATCTTCCTAATTTTAATGAATGTAAGAGAAACAAAGCCATGTATCTCTTTTAGAACTCCAAAAAAGAACTTCACCATGGGTTTTTCAAATCAACCCTCTATGGAAGCAGGTCCCTTGGTGAAATTGTTGCTGTTGAGAACTTTCCTTTAAAATGGAGGTATCTAGGATGTGGATATTTTAATCTTGACACTCAAAAGATCAAAATATTTATGTCCAGTGAAAATCTGACATGAAAGGAAAAATGAAAAGTTAAGCAAGGTGATATCTTTGTTTTGCATGAAGCTCCTTGACATCTCGCCTTAAACAGAACAGGTTTCAAAAAAGCTTAAGGGAATTAACAAGATTCTTTTACAGAGAAAATCATGAGTAAAACACGTTAATACCTCCAAAATGTTATACTGAGGAGTTCATACTCTAAAACTAAAACTGCACAAAGGAGAGAAATTCATTTTAATGTAGGTTGCATACAATGGACCTCAAAGTGCTACTGCCCTTTGGTAAAGGATAGACATGATTAAAGGACATTATAATTAAATGATAACTATAATTGTCTGAGGTCAGTCTTTTGAGCAGACTCCACTTGCTTTGATGACTCTTGCTTCAGAATAACTTATATTATCTGATGATCTGTTCATCTGATATCCAACATAACTGCCCATATGCCTATGAAGTTATGAACACAAGAAAAAATGTTTGGGAAAAAATAAAATGTACTATGTAAAAAAGGAGGAGGAGGAGATTGGCTATCAGGCAATGACTTTCTGCTCACTCCAGTCAGGCAGAAAAGATTTTATTGTGCTTTCAGTGATTCTCCTATATTTGTATTAGTCTTATAAGGAGTATAGATCACTCACCTATTGGACTATCACTGAAAGCTACTAAGAGTTAAGAATCCAAGCACTGTACATTAGCTTTCTGTCTTCATCACTGTTTCTCTGCACTAGTTCTTACATATACATAACATTGCTAATAAAACTGCTTGAAAATATGCCAAGGATTTAAAAAACACTTGTTAGTTTATCATTCCTGGTTTGTTGTCTCCTATCCAGTGATAAAGCACAAACATATTGAATGGTGTACAGCATGTCTGCTGACAGTGCTAAATGGTTGATAGGTTGCAAGAGCATAAATAATAGGCTCCATTAGAAAGAAAAACCAACAACAATATACAATAGTTTTGGAACTATCTCATAAAATAATAATCACAGTGATAATGTAATTATAACCTTAATTATATGGGGGCATTTACAAACTCAACTTCCACTATATTATAGTTGTTAGAGCATTTAATTTTCTGTGTAGTCATGCAGTAACATCTGCACTACAACACTTTTTTCAAGGACAGCCAATCAGAAGCACACATATTGTCTTTAAAAGTGCATAAGGATAATTTTATTTTATTTTATTAATAATGACTTTCTTGCCTATAGCAGAAAATTCCAATCCTGATCTTCTATCTAGAGGTCATTTTCTGTTATAAAATACTAGAACATCTATTTTTCTTGTGTTCTTGTTCAGAATATAACATTCAAAATGCTTCTAACATTTCCGGTGTCCAGAAAATGGAAGGACAGGACAAAAGGCACTAGTAAAATGAATGGGACTATTGGTAGTTTCAAACTTACCTGTGAAGATAAATTAAATCTACACTAACGCAATCTACAGATATGCTTCAACACCTTCTCTTAATCAAAGTCACAAGGAGCTAGGTACTTAGCTAGTGGAAACTGGCATGAGAGAGATCTGCTGACAGGAAGACAGATTAGGCCTCCCTCTCAGATCCATGGGCAGTCTCCCTTTCCAAATATAAGAACATCAAGGCATGGCAACCAGAATTGAAGGGAAGGACCCTAGAGATAAACAAAAGTAGGAATCATATGGCCACCAGGGGGCATTATGGCTGCCCCTGGAGCCCCAGTTCTGTTACACCTTGGTAAATTCCATATACATAATTTGAGAAACTGACCCAAGTAGTTTAAAAGCAAGTGGCAGTACAATCTGGATTCCATAAATGTATGCCTGACAAAATACTAAGAGAACGCTTTGGAACAGTTCTTAATAAGAAACCATGCAAATTTTTATGGGATCAGAATATCTCAGTCTTTCATCTGAATATAGATCTAGAATATACCTAGCTGGGGTAATTTGACCAGTTTTCTCTCCTGCCCAGGGGGTTGGACTAGAAGATCTGCAAGGTCTCTTCCAACCCTACATCTATGAGTCTAAAAATCTATGAATAATGAAAGACAATCATGTTGTATATACACCGCTGTAATTTAATTATACAAATATATAGCTATACCCAAGAAAGAACAGAATAAAAATATAATTCTAGTAGTATAAAGTCTAGCTTGTTTGTAAACAAAATGAGGACCATTTTGTTGTGTACTCCACTTAAAATGAAAAGAATTCCTGATTATTGCTTTTAATTAGAATATTATCCATATTGAAGTATATCCTCTGAAAATTTGATTATCTTTTCATACCTGGCATACAAAAATTCATTCATTATCATAAAGTTAAACCTTGCAAAAAAAAAGAGTGCTGTGACTGAAAATTAAGTTCCGTACTTAAGTAAGTAAAATATATTATAATAAAAAAAAACTACAAGGTTAGTGAATAGTTGAATAGGTAAATATTTTTGTTTGAAGTGCAAAATGCTGCTCTGTATTACCAAGTAATATGACTTTACATATACATTCCTGCAAACATAATAGACGATGATAAAAAAAAAGATTCCATAAAAGTTATAGTTTAAAAAGGAAGCTGTATTAAAAAGGAGAGCTTTTATTCCGTTTGTATAAAAGTTATATATACTTTGTCTTTGTATAAAAGTTTTATATATCGATATTCTTTTTAAGTTTTGAAAGATAAAACAGGAAATGCTACAATTTACTGTCTGCATCCTTGACAGATGTCACAGCAAAACCTTTTACCTCTTCTTACTTAAGTTTCAGCAGATCAAATGCATTTACAAGCATGTCAAAGTTCTAGAGTTAACATTCAGAGATTGACTTTGATTTGGGCCTTCTGTCTGTCTGAAACTGCCAAACACTACTTTTGCATACCAATTGGAAAAGTGTTTGCACGTTATCTTAAAGTAACTTCTAGGTCATTTAATCTAACATCTGAAAGAATGCATAACAAAATAAAGTGCCATTCCTACATTTGCTGAAATTTTCAGTATATCTGAAGTTACATTACAGAACGTAGTCTAAAAAGAACCTCATAGACTTTGCTAGAGTTTATTGTATATGACTTTATGCTTTATTTGAACCATGTTTCAAGTTATTTAATAGTTTCTATTTTTACCTAGTGCAATTATTTCTCTTTAGATAGCTTGGCATAACCATGTCTGGGATTCTTTTCCTGTGCATTTTCATGAGGTTTATAAGAAGTTCATTTCAATCATTTGAAAATTTGCCCACTACCCTTTCATCATCTTTGCAAAAAAAAAAAAAAAAAAAGCTTCTGTTTCTTTATGATAGTTAGCAGAGCTTTCCTGATAGCTTTGAGGGAATACCGTACATTAGTAAGAATAAAAAATTGCAAGGTCTAGCTGTCATTGCCAGCTAAGATATCATGTAACTATATGGATGAACCTCAAAATGCATAGCAATAGGATGAGATAAGTCTTCAGTTGCATTATGCAACTAAAACAGAATGTGATAATATGGATTTATTTTTAGTTTGAATTAGGACACCCAATTCTAGTATTAGTGACCTACATCTGAAAATAAAACTTTATCACCACCTTGCTAATGGGTACTTTTTCATTGATTGTTAACAATATTATGGTTGGAGATGGTGAGAAGTTTGCCTTCCATTGAACCACTATTTCATGTCTTCCACCTTAGACAGGTATACTTAGATTAAATTAATTACTGAACTACAGTGGCATCTTCTTCCTTCCTAATTAGTAAGTCCAAAATATATTATTAAAAAAGTAATAATGCAATGTTTGTTCTAAGTTTGTTTTTTGATCATAATCATAACCCCTCCTTTTATCACGTCAGATTTTTTTTGTTCCTATACAGGGGTATTTGACAGTTGTGCAGATACAACTATCTGATCATACATGGCAACAAGCATAGTCTCTATGGTATAATTAAGGCTTAGAGAAGCCAATCCCCAAATAAGTGTTTTTGGGGTTTTTTTGTCAGTGAGTGTTTTGGAAAGTGGACAAAAAAATGGAGAATTCCTCAGAAATATAGCACACATTCATATGCTCAGTATGAATGGTGCTGTTTGTCACAACCCAATTATAATAGTGCCCATGTCACAAGCAAGTGAAACCATTCAAAGCAGTTTTGTTTTGCACTAGGTTAACTAAGGGTTAACTAACAAGATGATAGTAAGAGTTTTTTTTGCTGCGCATGTCAAAAAGAAATTTATAACTGCGACACCAACATAAAATAGAACTTAGCCTTCTGTGCTTTACATAAATCATTATAACTGGTCAGAGAAAACAGGGAGTAGCCCTGTGAAATAACACCCTAGCGAAGACCGCTAGATAATTGGCGATTCTAATTAAATTTATGACGTGGCGAAAAGCAATTGGCTATTATACAAATAAAACCCGTCTTCACTTCCGTGAAGTCGGAGACCTCCGCACACACACCTTGGAGACCTCTGAATGTATGCGTCAGAGTAACTGACAAATTGATCACTTGTCAGTTTCCCCCGTCTCGACCCAATCTCAGACATAAATCAACGACCTGCCAGCCCGACTTCCGCCTTTCACCACCTTGACAGTGTGAGTAAACAATCTTGCTTTGCAACCGATAAGCGTCCGCCTAATTAATTCCACTCCAAGCATCACAAGTACCTGCCTGATGGCTTCTAAGGTCCCGACCCCTCCGCTGCAGTGCACGGCGGCGACACTGTTAATGACAATGATAGTCTCCTTAGAGGGAAATGTTCAAGAGGCATGAGAAAGGTACTGAAGGTGTTACTTTAAGTATTTTGTTTAACAGCTTCAGAACATGAAAAAAAGTTTTTATGGAGAGATCCTGAGGTAGGAATATCTACAGCAAGGTTCCTGTGGAAGTGTCTTTATACACAATGCATGGATGTGCATGAATCTGCAACCCGTTTTGTCTTATTTTTAGCTATTTTGATAAAATACAGCTCCAATAATGCATTTACTTCTAGTTAAAGCCTGAGGCTGCTGAGGTCCATAAATAAATTTAGATGAGGGGCTGCCTGAGGTAGGGCTCTGTGAAGCTTTGGTAGCTGACTTAATTTGGAGATTTGGCCTGATTCAGGGACCGAATCTCTGAATCCGAATCAAATCAGGAGACAAAGTAAAAGCTTCAAATCAATGCAAAGCATCCAAATCAATTTGGAAAAGCTGTGGAAAAGATTCAGCTGATTCAGAGATTCAGCCATAGACTAAACAGGCAGCTGACAGCTGCCTCCAGCTGGTAAGTCTGTTGGGGTTAGGGGAGGGGGGAGGAAAGGGGCTGGTTTTGCAGGGTTCTTTGTCTTACAAATGCTGGTCTTGTCTCTGTTCCTGGTGAGGTCCATGTTTCCTGGGTGAATCAATGCGAGGTGATGGCCCAGTCATTACAGGTCATTCAGTAGAGGCCTGCTACCACTGTATTTCAATCATTTCCAAACAGACTCATTCATCGGGGAACCAATTTACATGGGAGGGGTGCGTGACTCATACAGTTGCAACATGGGATGCCCAGGCAGAGGACAGAAGATGGAGGCTTGACATATAAAATGGAAACTTGACATCACTTAGGTTCACTTACAAACACAGGCCTAAACCATACAGTACCATATGAAACAATAAAAATCAATATGAAAATGATAATAATACAATATACAACAGTAAGAATCAATACAAACCTAATAATTATACAATATAAAACAGCAGATATCCAAAACCAAAAACTTGCTACCAAAATAAAAATGTTTAAAGCTTATCCTACATATTAGCTTACTTATACTTATCTATAGGGAAATGAGAGGGAGAGAAAAGGTCAGAAATGGTTGGAAAAGGGGAGGGAATGCATTTTAAAATAAATATAAAAAGAAAAAAAGAAAAAAAACTGGGGGGTTGCTACTGGGGCTGGGGCTGGGACTGGTTTGCTACTGGGGCTGGGAAATAACCATCTCCCAGTCCCATCTCCATGATAGTGGAATGGGGGGCTGGGAGTTCCCTGCTACCAGGGCAGGGGGATATTGTTCCTGCCTGGGCTTTGGTGGTAGAGTCCATCCCAGCAGCAGGCAGCTCCAGGGGCAGGGAATAATCTCCTGCTCCCTGCTGCCTGGCTGACAGGAAGGAAATTTGCTCCTAGTCAGCTATCTACATGTGCCATACTGTGCAGTAATTACTCCTGAGTAAAAATGTCTCCAGTGTCCATTTTGGCTATTCTAGCTTAAATTTTTACCTTGAGATTAAAAGTTGAATTATCTAAGGATGACCTTGTAACTGGTTTTGGTGAGATAAGATGAGATGAAAGAAAATAAAGGGTATTAACCTGCTTGACAGGATACAGGATGACCGTGGTGGCAATGGCCACCCTGTCATAATTGACATAGGTATTGTGGGGGAGCACCTATAAAAGCTAAATATCTATAACTCATCTGGACCGGACAAATTACACCCAAGAGTGCTAAAATAACTGGCTCATGTCGTTTCATGACAGATGATGAAGTTATTTGAAGACTCATGATGCTCAAGAGAGGTTCTCAGAAGACTGGAAAAAAAACAATCTGGTACCTATCTTTAAGAAGGGAATACGGGAGTACCCAGGAAACCACAGTCCAATCAGTTTGACCTCAACCCCAGGTAAAGTCCTGGGGAAAAGCATCAAAGAAACCATTATACGCAGGTAGGACCACCCCACAATTTTTTGCCCCCCCCCGCCAAATATAGTTTTGGGGGCCCCTGACATGAAGACGCCAGAGATGGCAGCAGTGCTGGGAGGGGGTGGGGGGGAGGTGAGCAGCTGAAGAAGCTGGCATTGGTCGGTGGCAGGGGGGATGGTGAGCAGCTGGATGTGAAGCTGGTGGCAACCACCCATCCCCCCTTGTTACAGCACTGATTTGCAGTGTTCATGGCCACAGGTGGCCCCTTGGCTGCAGGGCCCTCTGTGGCCACAGGTTTTACAGAATAGGACAGGCCAGCCCTGCACACAGGCTAACTAAAGGCAGTATTCTGAAGGATAGCCAGCATGGCTTTGTCACTGGCAGGTTGTGCCAGACCAACCTAATTTTCTTCTATGATCAGGTTACTTATCACCTGGATAGAGGAAATAAGGTTGATGTCATATACTTTGACATTAAAAAGGCCTTCGTCATGGTCTCCCATGACGTCCTCATGGTCAAATTGGGAAAACATGGCCTTGACTACTTCACAGTCCAGTGGCTAGGTAATTGGCTCTTTGGTAGGATCCAAGGGGTACTAATTGATGGAACTGAGTCATCATGGTGGAGGGTGACCAGTGGCATCCCTCAGGGGTCAGTACTTGAATCAGGGCTGTTCAACATGTTCATTATTGATTTTGATTCAGGTATTATAAGCAATATGGCAAAGTTCACTGACAACACCAAGCTATGGGGGAGCATTGTCACGCTTGACAGCAGGCTGGCATGATTGACAACAAAATCAATATGAGCCACCAATGCAATGCTGTAGCTGCAGAGCTAACCAAACACTGGCATCTGGCATCCACCGAGGCATCTTGAGTAAGGTAAAGGATGCCATCCTCCCGCTATACTTGGCCTTGGTGAGACCGCAACTGGAGTACTGCATCCAGTTCTGGGCATCACACTTCAAGAAGGATGTGGAGAAGCTTGAGAGAGTCCAAAGGAGGGCCACACACATGATTAGAGGTTTGGAGACCAAGATGTATGAGGAGAGGCTGAGGGACTTGGGATTGTTCAGCCCAGAGAAGAGAGGACTCAGGGGGGACTTGGTTGCAGCCTATAAGTATATCAGGAGCATACATAAGGGTTTGGGGGAGCATCTATTCACCAAGGGCCCCCAGGGAAGGACAAGAAATAATGGGAACAAGCTGACTGAAGATCACTTCAGGCTAGATATAAGGAAAAACTTCTTTACAAGCTGAGTGCCGAGGGTTTGGAACAGGCTCTCTCCAGAAGTGGCATATTCATCCACCTTGGCAATCTTCAAAAAAATCTTGATGCCCATCTTGCTGGGATCATATGATCCCAACAGTCTTTCCTGCCCACATGCAGGGGGGCTGGATTCAATGATCTGTAAGATCCCTTTCAGCCCCTAACAACTAGGGGTGATCAGAGAGGTATGATTATAGAAGTCAAAATGCATAATGATGAGAATCTTTGCAGTTTAGAAAGAAAGAGAAGTGTTATGGAGAAAGTAAAGAGCACAAACCTTGACCATCCAGGGATAATGCAAATGCAGAGATGCAGAAAAGGTATGGCTTTCAATAAGGAGGAGGAGGAGGATGTTTATTGTTCCAGAGCATCAGAGGAAAGTGTTAGTTTAATTAAGCTTTATGTTAATTGTTCATTTAAGTCACCACTGTGGAACTGATTTAGCAGTTAAAGACCTGGGCTTATGGTTTTAATTCAGCTCATCTTTTAGTAACCTTTGCCTGTAATGTACACATGATACAACCTTCCTTAGTGGACAGTCTTAAGGGAGGATAGTAGTCCTGATAATGCCAACTGTACCAAATGACAGGCCTTTGGATGAGCTGGTACCAACACCAGTGCTGAAAGTTATGTTTTTCTTTTCATGTGTTCAAAAATATTGTGTGGGTGTAGACATATTTTGTCTAGTTAAAAAGTATAATTAGAAACGTCCTTTATCCATCTAACTTTGGTACTATGTACCTATCAACTAAGAATTATCAAATTTTAAATGAATTCCACAGAAAATTAACACAATGAACATTTTTACACATAAATCCTGATGCTTCACCTCAGAAATTATCTTACATTTTTTGTAACAGACTATTCTGGGTGGTAAGTCAATACATTAGATCATAAATATTCTGTCATCTTGATAGAGTACAATAATATACAATTGAGCCTAAGAATAACTGCAGGACAAAAGCATGATATTTAATACTTAAGCCACTACTAAATAATTTGAATAGCTTCATACAGAAAGTGCTTAATTAAAACTAAAATATCCCTTTGAGGGTGTCCTAAAGCCTTTTATAGCATTTAAGTATTGAGAGAAATTTAGAATTCAACTAAAACCAAATCCTAAAGCAGGAATTTTCAAAATACTTTCTGAATTGCTTGTACTCATGACCAGATTCTGTTCTACCTCTAGGACATTTAAGTGGTACTTAATGTGACTGTTAGGCATCTGTCTTTATGAAAAATTCCATTCTTTCCCATGCAATAAAGCATCCACAAAATCACTAAGACATTTAGATTCTTTGTGTGGCTCCATTTTGGCATGAAAATAAATCTTCTCCAGTGAGAAGTGGAGGGCAACTGCACATACTCTGAAACAATCCAGTGTAGCCACCTAAACGTTTAACTGCACCTGAACTCTGTTGCAATTCTGTTCTGTCAAAGAAGAGTATAAAATCCACATGAGTTCCTAGTCCCTTAGACAGGATAAAACCCCCCAAACCCTGCCTAGCAACTGTTCATGAGATGAAGAGAAGGAGGGCCTAATCACCATTGGCCCATACACAAAGCATAAAGGACACTTGCCCAGGGAATAGGGGTACTTATACACATGCACGGAGGCTGCTTCAATGCACTGTAATTCCAGTGTGTTGTATCAGACTCGATTAATTGACTCAGCTGGAGTGTGTAAATTACTGTACCGCAGCAGACTTTAGCATCATTTGTATCAGCATCCCTGTGCTGAAAAATGGTGATGGGAAGCTTTAATTCAAAGTGCCCTGCTGCCATTTTTCAGTGTGGGGAAGCTGATACACATGATGCTTTGGGCGCTGTTAATCAGCACAGCTCTTGAAGCTCGCCATTATTTTTGTGGCCCTCCTCCCCACCCACACACACACACACACACACACACACACACACACCTCCTGGAGCATGTCTATAAATACCCTAGGAGATCTGGGTTGAGCTAGAGGTGGGTTAAACTGTCATCCATCTAAAGTGACTTAACGACATGACTAAGGGCATCTTCTACCCTTCCTATTGAAGTTAGGCTATGATAGGAAGGGAAAGCAAGAGAAAATAATCAAGATAAAACCTGATTCTTTAGCCCAGTGAGAAGGACACTCCCTGGGGAGGGAAGAAGCTTTGAATTTCCTCCTTGCTTCCAATGCTGCTTAACCACTATAAACTGGTGGTTAGGATACTAGACTATTAGGGAAAAGTCAGTGGGTCATCTGTCTGCTCCTTTTCCTTCATCAGTTGAATGCTCCCTCTCTAAGTGAACATGATAGGATGTCTCCCTATTGACTGAGATGTATCAATCTGGATCCTGAAATGACAAAAGTGCTTAAAGACACTCAATGAGAGAATGGAAGAACTATGTTCTCTCTGGGCAGCATAGAATCACACCCCTAAGGCAAGACATATACCTTTTAGCTAGAGGTGACAAAGACTTAGATATCTTAGAGGAAAAGGATCAAATATGGATTTGTAAGCACAAGAAAATACACTTTGTGGGTCCTATATCATCCCAAAGTCTTATGTAATACAGAAACAAGGCCATGTTGGCAAATTGCTTAACTTGCATCAAAGGTTACAAAAATGTATCCTTTTTTAATAGAATACATTTTTAACTGTCCATATTCTGCATGGTTTCCCTGAATGAAGCAGATTGGTTATGCCAGATATCTCCTTGCACAACTGATCAGCCTCACTGGGTGAAATGCATATCACCAGCTATCCCATCTGATAATGATGAGGGACAACAGGCAATGCGTTCCATGTTTAAAAAGATACTCCCCAACCCAACCCCAGCCTAAAGAGTGTGTCTCTGAAGAGTGTGTCTCTGAAAGCAGGGACAGCCAGGCAGGTGCTCCCGGGGTTTGAATTCCTGGACGACCAAGCCACTCAAATCCCAAAAGTCCCTTCCTGCGGTAGCTGGAGAGTATGGACATGTGTGGCCTGCCCAAGCTCTCCTGACATAAAGCAGATAGATGGCCCCTGTGAAAAAGCAGCACAAATTATTACTACCTTCTGTTATGGCCACAAAGGCATTTGTGGCATGACAAAGGATATAGGCATCTATTTGCTTCTTCTTTGTGCAGCCATAAAAATTAACAATGGGCATAAAAAAAGTAGAGGGAAACTAGCTGCATCAGAAGATGCCTCTAGAACTTGTAACATTTCCTTTTTGGATAGCTAAGAAGCTCTAAAACATCTTTCACAATTGGGAAATGCATTTTTTGAGGTCTTTGTTTGGGAATAAATAAAAGAAGCCCCCAAAGTAAGGGTTTAAAACTATGATTACTGGTGAGAGTGCTAGTTATCTTCTCTGGGTTGTTGTTCTACCCCATAGTGTATACATGACACTCCTGTTCATCTTAATTGCAGCTATTGTCTTGTTTCCCTGTCTTAATGATTAACTCTTTAGGCAAAGACCCCTACTGTTTATTTGTATAGTACCAACTGCAATAAGGACTCATATTTTGGTTGGGAGGATTATTGCTATTGTAATATTACCTTTTTTGAGCCCAGCCTACAAAGCATATTATTGGAGAGAATCAGAAGACTCTTTGAACAAAGAGTCCTGTTTAACAAAATTTGCATGTGGCAGAGGTAAAAGGCAAGAAATTACAAGCAAACATCATAAGAGCTACAGGAAAATACTGAGCTATTTTTGGGAAGAATGAAAAAGAGAATATCATAATTCTTAAACATCAGTAAACCTAAACATTAGATCTCAAAGATGGATATATTGACTGATTCTATTAAATGTTATAAGGAAAATACTTAGAATCTTCTAGGCTGGATTATTTTTCTTCAGGAATATTTTTAAAATAGCAATATATGACCCATATTAATATATAATAAACAAAATTCAATACAGTAAAAACTCTGTTATTCGGCATCCCCAGGAATGGGGGATACCAGATAACAAAATATGCTGGTTAATTGAGCAGCCCTGGCCACCACTTCTGGGGCATTCCCCTGCCCCTCCTGCCGCATTGCTGCCTGTCCTGTGGACCCTATGGGCCCCACGGGATGGGGAGGCGGGCCCCACACAGCCCCATGCAGCCTGTTATGTCCCCAGGCCGTGGGGACTCGGCAGCACAGGCTGCTTTGCCCCTGGCTATGGGGGCTCGGAGAAACCGGAAGTTCTGTGGTGGGCACTTCCGGTTTCACTTATCTTACAAGCCAGCATGCTGGTTAGTAGAGCATGCCGGCTTGTAAGATGCCAGATAGCGTGGCTTTTACTATAGTTGCAAACACCTAAAAAGGAAGTTCCTTTAATGCAGTCCATTTGTCTTTGTAAACTTGCTGAACTGCTGTACCTTAACACTGTATCAATAGCTTTTTTTTGTAGGATTCTGCACAGCCTACCTCTTTCAAGTACCATGAACACAGAATATCTAACCAAGAGATGTTGTTATCAACTGACTTTTAAAATTCCTAGTCTGCCTCTTAAAATGACACATTATTAGAGCCCTTTCCATAGTAAGCATGTAAAAGAGAGAATAAAGACTATATAAACAGGATTCTGTCAATAGTTTTATTGTGGTGGAACAGGCAAGGAGAAGATCTTGAATCAATAGATTTAGAAATAAGCCCACAACCAAAATGTTATCATTTGTGTCTGAGGGAAAAATAGAGGTAAGATAAGGAGAAAAAGTGTGTGCTTCTAGTCCCAGTGAAGCCGAAGACTTCAGTAACAGCAGGATTTGGTTCACACATACAATCTTTTCTACAACCCAGTTAACCATTACAGCTTTCCCAATTTTCCAACCACTTTCCCATTTAAAAGGGAAAATATCAAACCCAGTCACTCATTAAACAATTTTGACTAGTTCTGTAGATTTCAGAAACTTGAGGAGTGCAAAATACAGGACAGTTCCTTGACAACATGCTTCAGACCATTGACAATATGTCCTAGCATCTTAGATTTATCTCTTTCCTTATATAAGGTTTGAGGACTTCCTGCTTGTTCTGGTAAGAAAGTATATCTTGGAAGGTACCTGCTGAAGATATGAAAATTGAAGAAAAATTGTGTGAAAAATGAAGAAAATTGAATTAAAGTGGCATTCTTTCATTAGCAAAGATTATACAAACAGGGACAGTAATGTGAGTTGTCTGATAATTCTCTGGAAGATAATGTATGAATGAATTTAATATAAATGTTTTACTGAAGAACAACTCTTGCAAATATCGGGCTGAATGTGAGACCTTTTATCAACAGCTGTATGATGAAAGAACATAATTTGTCATTGGAGAAAAATGTATGTGAATCAAGTAATGAAATGTTACAATGTGAATTAAATGTGCTCCTTTTTTGTTTTATGATTAAAATCCAATTGACTGTCTAACATATCAACCTAAAAAAAAGTATAATCGCTTTGTTACATGTTTGTGTACTTAAAAGATAACTGGTGAATCAGAACAATAATTTAGCATTAATTATAGTAATTTCTCTTTCAAAATTAAAAAAATAAATAAATGTATGTCTCATTAAACATTCCTGACTGACTAATCTAGGAACTAAATTCATCCATTTGTGCACAAAACTGTGTATCAAAGTTGAAATATTATAAGCTATGCATGTATTGCTAGGACAATATTTCCCAAATCTTTTCTGGAATGCCAAGACCTAGCAATCTACATACACAATCAGTTTTCTATTCTAAAATTACTGATGAATGGCAACTGGATAACAATTTTCAGATGCAAATACCTGTATACTAAGAAATGGAAGTTAATAACTAATTATTTCAGTTAGACTACTAAAAATCATCATATGATAACTGTAGATCACTACCAGATGGCATTAGATGCAAAACTGTAAATGCCCAGTGAAGAAAAACAGAACCAAAATCCTCCATTACTTTCAGCTGTTTTACTCTTGTTTTTGGTTCGGGTCCATGTAACAGGACTGAGCCCTAAGGGTGGTTGTGATGCTCCCAGTGGCTCTGTGGCTCCTGCTCTACTCTGACTCCAAGCTCTGTCCCTCTAATCCTTCCTGCCACGCCTTGATGTTCTTAAATTTGGAAAGGGAAGCTGCCCAAGGATCCTAGAGTGATCCCTAATCTGTCTCCTTGTCAGCGGAGTCCTCACTAACTTAACCCTCCCTGGCCATATGTGCCCCCAGGGCACCTGTTGCCTTATGAGCTATTTTCATTGCTTCTGACCTCCTCTGTAACCATGTCCATGCCTTGCAGGTATTGCCAATCAAACAATTTAGTGGGTACTTGCCCCTGTCTAATATGGGGCCTTGTCAGGTTTCAAAGTCTGTCACTACCCCTCCTGGGCTGCTGGGTCCCTGGCCCCTAGTATCTGCCCCCTGGGGCTGTGGGCCCCTGGCCCCTTACCTCCATCCATCCCAGGCTACCCTGCAGCTTGCACCCTGCCCTCCAGCAGGCTGAAGCCTCCTGTGAATCTCTGGTGCTCTGAATCTTCACCTCCCCTTTATGGGTGCATCCACATGAGCATGCATGTGCCTGTTGCATCATCTCAAAGTAGTTTGAGGTGCCACAAGAGGCAAGCTGGAAACAAAAAAATGTTTCCTGCACTGCATATTTGCAGTGTGGGCTCTAAATTTCATACATGGAAATCCAGGTGTCAAACCCCGCCCTAAAAACCCCACGATCCCAGTGAAAAAAAACAGGGCAGGGCATGCTCCTGTAGTACGCTCTGAGGCAACCGGAGGCTAAGTCCTCCAAATAGATGCCTTGCCATCCAGCCAGAGCTTCTCTATGGCTCCCTGTGATGACTGTAGGTGTTGTAGAGCTTGCTACCACTGCCCTGAGTTTGTGTTCCTACAGACAGTGACAGGGTGGATCTTGGCTTTGGATCACCCAGTCTACCAGGAAGTTGATCTTGTGTTTTTCACCTGCCATGAATTTGATGAAATTATATTCCTAGGAGGCACTGCCCAAGGTGACCCTACCTGGACACAATCCCTATTTTCTTATGTGGGGCTCCAAACCTCCCTTTCATGCCAGCCTACTCTCTCCAGATGGTATTTGAAGTCCTCTGCAGCCAGGTCATAGTACTGCCTGTTAGTCTATTATGGGCTGGCCTTGGCCTCCGCTTAAATATTTAAAAGGGAAAAAAAAACCCAAAAAAACACCAGCTGCTCTCATTCTCCTTGCCAGGCTCAGTCCACGTCCCCTTCTCCTGGGGTCAGGAGCTCATACCCCGATCACAACAGAAAACAAATCAGTCCAGTCGCTGTTCTGCATAGGCCTGTCCGGTTTACTCATGAACATTCATAGTCCCAATAGGATCTGTCCCATCTGCAGCAAGGCTTTAACTTGGAACAGCAGTTCCTCTGTCCTTTTCACCAGATCCTCAGCTGACACTCCACCCCAGATTATCAAAAACCATGTGTGTGCAGGCCTCTACCTTCCTCCTTCTCAGGGTCACTCTGGAAGCTTCCTCTGGCAAGTTTCGCAAGCCTTGCCTGCAGGGATGCTCAGCTGCTCCTTTCTCTCTGTGGCTTCCAGGGAACTGACCCCACTCGGCCCCTCTCCAGGGCCAGAAATACCTCTGAGAAGCCTCCCTCCTGCAATCCTGAGTGAGATGCTGCTCCAGAAGTGTAATGAATGTTTCTCTTCCCTTCTGGTCTCCAGCTGCAGCCCTGCTGGCCCTCCATGCTGTGAGTGTTGTTTGTTTTCACTTTTGCTGTCTGTTGCTGCTGGCAGTTTTTCTTCTCCTGACCTCCCCTGCCCAGCATGTAAGGCACCTCCAGGCTTTTTTTGGCTCTCTCACTCCTTCACATACTCTCTCCCCCCCGATTAAGACACTGTCAGGCGCTGTTCTTTGTTCATAAGGAGAACTTTCTCCCTGGACTATCACCTGCTGTCCTGGCCTTCACTGTGTTTCAACAGACTCCCTTGAGTGGCAACGAGAGAGAAAATCAGCCACCACATTGTCTTTACCTGGTCAATATTCGACCGCAAACTGAAATGGCTGCAAAACTAAGGCCCACCTTGTTATATGGGTGTTGTCTGTCTTGGTGGATTTTAGCCATTTCAGTGGTGCATGATGTGTTATAACTATGAATTTCCGGCCCAACAAGTAGTACCAAAAGTACTCCACACCCCACTTTACCGCTAAACACTCCTTTTCTACTGCAGTTTACCTTCTTTCAAGGTCATTTAATCTCCTACTGGTGTAGGCTATCCTTCTTTCTTGTCCCTCAATTCTTTGGGAAAGCATGACCCCTAACACCTTTCCTGGTGCATCTACCTGAAGGATGAAGGGCAGTGCAAATTCAATGTGTGTAGTAGAACATCCTTACATAAGGCCTGCTTAACCACCTCAAAGGCTCGTTGTTGTATCTCTGTCCAACATATAGGGTCATTCCCCTTACCCTTGATCATGTTAGTGAGTGGGACTGCTAATTCTGCAAATTTTGAAATAAATCTTTGATAATAACCTGCTAAACTTAGAAACCCTCTCATCTGTTTCTTGGTTTGAGGGACCTGGTAACCTTTCATTACCTCATCCTTATCCACTAATGGTTTGCTCTGTCCTTGCCCCACTGGAAACCCAAATAATCCATCTTATGCTGTCCTAACACACATTTCCTAGGTTAACCCTCAATCCCAATCATTTTAACTCCTGCAAACCTGCCTGAACAGCTGTTAGGTGCTGCTCCCAGGTCTTGGTATATATGACTATATCATCAATATATACACCCACATATTCATAATGAGGGGCTAGTAACCAGTCCATCAGCCTTTGAAATGTTGCAGCCATCCCATTTAGACCAAAGGGCATTCTACAGAACTCATAAAGTCCCCATGGCATTCTGAATTCTGTTTTAGCCTGATCTTCTGGTTTTACTGGTATCTGCCAATATCCCTTGGCTAGATCAAAGGTGGAGATAAATTCTGACTGCCCTATTCTTTCTAGCAACTCCCCAACCCATAGCATGGGAAATGCATCGAACTGGGTGATGGCATTAAGCTTATGAAAATCTATACACAAGTGGAGTGACCCATCCTTTTTGGGGACGGTCACTATGGGGCTTCTCCACAGGCTTCAGGAGGTCTTAATTATTCTTTGTTGGAGCATTTTCCCTATCTCATCCTTTACTGCCTGATAATGGTGGTATGGTATCCTTTTCCACCTTTCCCACACAATAGCCCCTTCTGGTGTTTTAATTCCATGCACTGCATCTCTTGTTCTTCCTGGAATTTCACTAAATACAACGGCAAATTTCTTTAGTACCTGTATTGCTTGTAGGTGTTGTAGGGGTTCGGCCTCTTCTTGATAGGTGCCTTGCTCCCAAGTGACGTCAGGGTGAGACTTGGGCTTGGGTGCCACCTAGATGGTATGGGTGCTGCTCCTACTTTCCTGCCACATCTTTGATGTTCCTTGTTGGGGAGGCAGTTCCCTTCAGGTGGCCCCCAAATGTGAAGAGGTCTCAACCCTGGTCTTTTATTTGTGGGGCTACAAATGTCCCCTTTACCACACCCTTACCATGTCCATGGCCTGGACAAATGCTGCATTCTACAGGTCTTCCTCTGGATGATATCTCCTTTCACTCAGATTGCCCTCCCTGGGATGGGTTGGGTCTTCTTGGCCAGTACAATCTTCCCCACAGCTGGTTCCTCAGCTTCAGGCCAACTTGGGCACATAAACTTGCCCTGCCTTAGTGCTGACTAGGACTTCAGATGAATCTAACAGAAAAAATCCGGCCTCTGCTGACAGACCCCTGGGATCCTCTCTCCTAGTGCCCTCTTGTCGCCCGAAGAAAAAAAAGGGGGGGACTCGCTCGTCCCTTCCCTCCTAGTGATTATGGGAGTGGGCAGCTGGCCCGTGCCCCACCCCGATCCTTCTTCCAAGTGCAACCGAGTCTAGATCCCTGCTGACCTGGGGTTGCCCTCTTGCTCCTCCCAAGCTGGAGGGGTGCACAGTTCCCATGCTGGGCTGCTCTTTCCTCCCCACTGAGCTGCTTGTGAGGGCTAGCAGCTCCTGCTGCCTTCCCCAGCCGCCATACCTGTATTCCCTGGTGGGGCTTCAGCATCGCTTCCAGGCGTCTCTTGCTCCCCAGGCTTGGACTTCTTCTCTGCCCTGCCAGAGCCCTCTGCTCGCCACTCCACTCCTCTTGCCTACTCTATAGCTGGGTGATCCTCTGCTCGGCTCCTGACATCTCCTGGCCAGCATCTCCCTCTTCCCTCGCTGGCCACTCAGCTGTTCTCCCAGCTGCTATGTGAGCAGCCCACATCTTGCCGAGGCTCTGGCCCCATCCCTCACCAATCCACAACTTCAGGCAGCTCTGGAATTGTGGAGCCTGTGTTCTCATTTCCTTCCAGCTGTTGCTCATTTGGGCTTCTGTGGTAAGGATCAGGGTGCATGGGGTGGGGGTCTGTGACCCACTGGAGGGGCTTTTACTGCCCCTTTTGCAACCTGGTTCAGCTGTCTTAGTTGCCTCTCCATCAAACTTGACCCTGTAACTATT